GGATATGATATTCTCTTTACTCCTAGTTGTAGAATTTCCACTCAGCCAGCCCTCCTGTGGCTCTGGACGTTGTCCTTTCCCTGGATCAAGCTTAATTTGACTTAGTTGTTCCAGGCAGCAATCTCTGGTGTTAACCTATGCCGCCATCTTCGGTTCTCTCGGCATATAGTTATTTGTAAGACTTTCTTAAATCCCCTTTCTTAAATCCCCTTTCTTAAGTCCATCATATTACTTATGCGGCCGTTATTTCTTTGGGTCCTCTCTTTCTTTTTTTTCTTGATGAATTTGGCTAAAGGTTTGTCAACCATGTTTATCTTTTTAAAAAACCAGCTCTTGGTTTCATTGATCTTTTGTATTGTTATCTTAGAATCAATTGCATTTATATTCTGATCTTTATGATTCCCTTTCTTCTACTCATGAGGTCTAGTGCAAAATGAAAATGCAGGCCCCACTTTTAAAAAGCTGTTAAGAATTTTAAGGTGGCAAAAGCAGAGCTTTAAGCCAACTATAAGGCCCTTCTAAGCATCTGTACATGAAGTTCTTCTGATCCTCTTTCTCATCTATTGGTATCAGTGTAGAGAGTATGACAGAGACACCTAGACACCTCTCTCTATGGCCATCCATAAATTCTGTTTAAAGCAGGCAAGCCACTATATTTATACACCACAGTTGTCCAAAACAAAAGGCCCTTCCAGCCAACTATACAAAATTGAATTAGTAGTACAGTTACATTACAAAATTATAATTACAAAATTCATCAATAGTACAAAAATATATGTCCACTTTAAGGCAAAAGTATACTAAAATACATGTTCACTTTAAATATGGAAAGACAGAATCTCAACACTAAAAGGCACAAGAGAGAATACCTAATCAAAGCCCACGGGGTTATTTTGGGGAAACTGAGTCCCAATGAGGTTAACTGCCTACCTCGAGTGACATAATTAGCTACTGTTGAATAATCCCTGGCTCCTGAAATCCAGTTTAAATTTGTCTATTTTCATGTGGTATCACCTCTGTTCCTTTTCATCTCAGAAGTGTTGGAGTGGTCAACCAATTTTAGTTTCCTAGTCATAAACATCCAAAACAAAAGTATGAATACCAGAGAAGAAAAGGAAATTCAAGGTTAAAAAACTTCAGGACTTGAAGGGAAGAAAGAAGCTTGAAACTACATTAAATCAAAGTTTCTTTTTAATTATAAAATCTATTTTCAATAACTCAATCAAAAAGTATAAATGAAAAGTGATATTCCACCCATTTACTCAATATTAATCCAAAAAAATTATCACTTTTAGATAATTCATCACTAAATGAGAAATACAGAAGCTTACAGGGGAATCTTGTACTATGTGACATCTTTCCTAACCCAGAATACTGGCAGCAGGAGAAATGTAAGGAAAAGAGAATTTCCATTTCTCTCGAACTAATACACATTTTGATTATTCATTTCTGCGATGTAGAATTTTTTTTTCAGAAATCTTTTGGAAATATTCAAGCCTTCAACATATACTGCCCATTTTCTGCTTTGAAATACAAAAATATAGCAACTTAAGAGGAAAACGTCATGTGCACTTCTTACTTACATAACAAAAGCTACATAAATTATATCACTATCTTTCTGGTATCGCTAATAAAGATCCTTAAAACTACTAACGGCTGATGGGGGGGTGGGCGGGCTACAGGAATCACTTGATACTAACTACCCAGTGCTCTATAATTATCTTTAAATTTATATTCTACTGCTACTATTGAGCTGTAGATTTACATAAGAAAATTAAAATAATTTAATTTAAACAATTAAAATCCCCATAATTAACGCTATATGTTGGAAACCCCTAACAGATTGTGAACTCTCTGTTCTTCAACTAGATCGTTCAAACTCAGACTCCTGAGCCAGACTAAGGTAAATTTCGGTTTCCACTATGTATAGAAAGTGTCAGTTAACCAGTTACCTCTGCAGTCAAGCAGCCTGCCACTTAGAAGTTGGCAGATGCCGTGCACTGGCCACCAAGGGCTGGCTCTCCAGCACTCCCGGCAGAGCTCCGCGCCCAGGGACACCGCCCGCTCCACCTGTCTCACGCCACGCCCATTCCCAGGCCCTTCTCGTGGCCCCGCCCCTCGCGCGCAGGCGCGCCTCCCCGTCCCCTGCGTTCAGCCAATAGCCGGAGAGTTTGCGCAGCTCCTTCCCGCCCCGCCGACGCCGGGGATCTCGCTGTCCCGCCCCTGCGGGGAGCTCAGACCGAAAGATGGCGGCGGCCGCGGAGTTGACGCTGCTGGAGAAGTCCCTGGGGCTGAGCAAAGGGAACAAGTACAGCGCTCAGGGCGAGGGGCAGGTGAGAAGCGCAGGCGGCGCGGAGGGGAAGAGCTGGCCGGGAGCGGGGCCTGCGGAGCCGGGGAGGACCGGCCGGCCGGCCGGCGGAGGCAGGAGGAGGCGGCCCTCAGCTCCCACGTGTCGGCGCCTCGGGGCTGGCTGGCGCCCGGGGTTTCCTCCTGCAGCCCTCGGTCCCGGAACGGGCGAGGGACCGCCCCCAGTGGGCTCGGCCCGAACTCTGCCTTCCGGTAGATGGTCGTGATCCGGTTCTGGGGAAGCGAAGAGAATCCCCCTGAGCCCATAGAGACACCACCCCGGAGGCTGAGCGCTGGCGTTCAGTGGCAGCAGCTGCTGTAAGGGGAGCTTTCATTCATCCTTCCGCAGCCCCGCCCCGAGCCCTGTGCGGGCCTGGGGGTGCGCGGGATGGGTAACGCTGACACCCCTCAGGGAGCTGGCTGCTTAGCCTAGTGCCAGCCCTGCCGCGGGTTCCCTCGCGGCCCTGAGCAGAGCTGCATGAAGCGGATGCAGTGACCTTTGAACAATATGGTTTCCCTCTGGTTCCTTTCTTGCTTGCTTTCTTTTAGCAGGAGACAGCTATTGGAAGTTTCTATTTCTGTGTTTGGGGTAGGGATGAGGGTTTGTGATAAAATTCAATCTGCTGTTTGTTTTTTAAGACAATTGACAAGCGTAAGCCAACAAGTCATTCTCTGCAGCATAATAATAATTATCAATAATGATTAAAAACTGAATTAACAATAATAATTGAAAACTGAAAACAATTCAGAGATCCGGCTCTAGAGGAATGGTTCATCATATTACTTATGCGGCCGTTAAAAGTGATTAATTGAAGACCATTAAGATGAATGTGAAAATAGTAGATGTGCCATGATTGCAACCTCTGTGATGGTGATTTCATGTTGTCCTGAAGTTCCCTTAAATTACTCTTTTTTTTAAAAAATTATTTTTTCTTTTTGCTGCTCTAAATGATGTTTTTTTTCTACCTTGTCTTTCAAATCGATGACATAGTCCTCTGCTGCATTCAGTCTATTAATTCCTCCCAGTGTAGTCTTGATGTCAGAAACGGTCTTCTTCAATTCCTGACTGGTTCTTGTTCATGGTTTCAATTTCCTTTTTCATGCTGTTGTATTTCACACTGGGTTCCTTGTAATTCTCACTTAAGTTCCTTGAGCATTTTTATAACCATTATTTTGAACAGTATTCCTGATCATTGCTTACCTCCATTTCATTTAGCTCTTTATCTGGAGATTTCTCCTTTTCTTTCATATGGAGACCATTTTAGCTATCTCTTTGTGTTTGTTTCTATGTATTGGATAGAACTGCCATGACTCCCAGTCTTTGTAAGGTTTCTTTATGTAGTAAGTGTCCCGTGAGACCCAGCAGTGCAGTTTCTTTGATCTCCTGAGCTGGATGCTCTAGGGATGTCCCTTGTGTGGGTTATTTGGGTTCTCCTGTTGCAATTGGTTCTTGATTATATCTGTCCCATTCATGGGTGGGATCTTGCCTTAGGCTGGCTGACTGTGGGGCACACCCCCCCATGTTGTGTGAGCTGTTATGCAGGTGTTGATAGAACAAAGGAAGTAAAACTAGAAAGTAAACAAAACATACAAAAGACCCCCACAACAACAACAAAAGCAACTTCAAAACAAAGGCGAATTAGAAAAGAGAGAAGAGAGCAAGAATAATAAAAGAAAGGAAAAAAAATTATGAAAGAAAAAAATAGTGGGAAGAAAAGAATATGGAAGGAAAGAAGGGAGAGCAATTATAAAAATAAAGAATAGGAAAAGGAAAACTATAAATGAAAGAATCTAAAAAATTATGAAAAGGAAATAATTAAGAAAGAATAAGAGGAGAAAGAGAAAAATAGAATAAGAAAAGGAAAGAGAAAAGAGATATGGAAGAAAAAAGTAAAAAATAATTACAATGCAATAAAAAATGCAAAAATAATTGAAGTGGATTTTGTCTCAGCAGAGTTAAATGCATCATGGGAACTCCCTTTGGATGCTGCTTTATGTTGACTGAAGCTGACTGTTTTGTATGCTCTTGAGAGGTAATTTGGTGCTGATTGCTGTCCAGAGCTAACCATGTTTTGCCCTTCGCAACCTTTTCAAAGCTTCAAGTGATCCACAGTTTATGGCTGCCTCCACAGAGCTCGGCTGTGCTAGGGAGAGGCCAAGCTGTGCTCTAGGGCCGGCTTGTTAGCTTGACAGGGCCATATCAGCAAATGTCCCAAGGCAGCTTGGGCTCTGCCTCTGTTTGCTTCTGCCTGCTGTCAGACTTAGTCACTTTCTGAAAGGGCTTTTGGCAGAATTGGGATAAGACCTCTGAGTCTCTTGTGAGGGGGAGGTGCCGTTCTGATTTCAGCAAAGATGGTGGGTGTGTTCCCCCATCCCAGAGCCACTCATTTGAGTCTATCTGGAATATTCCCCTGACCTCAGCAGGGTGGATCTCATATTTAGTCTGGTGGGGTCTTCTGGAAATTGGTAGTTTTTACCAGCTCTCTCGCAAGGGAGAAGTATCAGTCACTTTCGGGGGGGGAGGATCACCCCATCCCAAAGCCAGCCACTGATGTTCCCTGAGACTACACAGCTTGTAGGCTTGGCCTCTGCTGCAGACTCCTCAGCAGGGGTTGAGATGCAGGATGAGGCGAGCAAGCTTCCTGAAGGTGGGGATGAGGTGTATCCTTGGGGGCAGGTTATTTGCCTTTCCCCAGGTTGCTGATGCTGGGAAAGGCTTGTGCCTCTCAGGAAAAATGGCTACTGCAATATGGGGTGGTGGGGAGGTGACCGAGCTCAGGTCTCCCGCCTGTCATCATTCCACCACTTTTTCCTCCCAATACCTCCCATCCCAGAATCTCCTCAGGGGACTGCAGTTTGCACTGCCCTCCCTCCACCAAAGCCTGGGTGAGTGGCTACAAACAAAAATCCTGTGCGTTTTTTGTTTTGTTTTTTATGTTATTTTTTTAAGTGGTTTTATCTCTGACAGGCTACCTTTCTCTTTGGCTTTCATGGGCCACTGTTCTCCAATCTGGGGGAGCCCAGGGCCTTATTCCTCGTAGCGGCGCTCCCCCCCCTCCCCCTTGCAGTTAAGATATATCTCCTCACCTTCAGCCTGGTGCCTGTAGGAGCTGGGCCAGCTGCTCTCGTGACCCTGCCCTTCCTACAAGTCTCTATCATGGGTGGGCAAACTTTTTGACCCGAGGGCCACAGTGGGTTCTTAAACTGGACTCAGAAGAAGGAGCTGCGGCCGTGTTTCCCGACGTTGCCATGTTAACACTGCTGCTGGTGAAGGAGCGGAGGGGAGAGCAAGAGAACCCTCAGCTCTTTCGGCTCCGCGGGCCCGGATAGAACAGCCGAATGGGAGGGATCTGGCCCGAGGGCCTTGGTTTGCCCACGGCTGCATGGTTTCTGCCCTTCCTACAAGTCTCTAGATGGTTTCTGCCCTTCCTTGTTAAAAAGTCTCCTCTTTGGCTAGTTTTTACTTGGTAATTTAGGGTGAATGTACCCCAATTTCATTTTATTTTCAGTTTGGTATTGGGAGGAGGTGCAAAAAGGATCCACTGACTCTGCTGCCATCTTGAAAAAAAACCCTTAAAATGAAATCTTAAGAGTATTTGAAAAATGGTTGAGGGATTTAGCGATTACATAGAATTGCAGTCCTGTTAGTATTTGTTTTAAAATTTACATGAAGAACTCTTTTTTTTCTTTTTTAGATTCCAGTTCTTCAAACAAACAGTGGTCCATGTCTGACAGGATTGGCTACTATAGCAGCTCATCTAGTCAAGGAAGCCAACAAAGAATATTTGCTTGGGAGCACTGCAGAAGAAAAAGCAATAGTTCAACAATGGTTAGAATACAGAGTAACTCAAGTAGATGGAAACTCTAAGAAAGATGATATCCGCATTTTGTTGAAGGTATTGTGACTTCTCTTTATAGGTTGAAATGAATGGCCTATTAATAGCAGGAATCCCTTCCCTGAATGTCAGTAGCTGAAACTTTGGCCTTATTTCCTTCTGCCTCGGGGTTTGTACCTGGTATTACTTTTACCTGAACAGACTCTGCCAGCCTTCCCTGTTCAGATCTCAGCTTAGATACCCCTTCCTCAGAAACATCTTTGCCTACTTCTCTCTCAAACAGAAGTCATTCCTTGTCCTTTAGGCTTTTCCTTCATACCACTTACCATAGTCAGTAATTACAACTTTTTAGGATTTTTTTTATTGTGATGACTTAATGTTTGTTTTTTCACTAGGAAATCCTGATTTCTTAATCAGTAAAATAACTTTTTCAAAGACAAAGATAATTAGAATCTTTTGGGATTGTAGTTTGAAAAAAATTGTCAGATTGATATGAGAAAGCTCATATTTCCCTCCTTTAAGACTTAAATACATTAGGATTTATATTTTCTTTCTGAAGAAGTCACATTAGAACAAAAATATCTATTGAGATAAAATATAAACTAAATATGGCTCCAGAGTCACCAAGAATGAAAAACATTCCAACTGAAATTATTTTTCTTAATTATGTTTATAAAAATAAAGCAAATTGCTCAGCTGATATGTCTCAGCAGTTGAGCATCAACTCATGAACCAGGAAGTCAGGATTCTATTCCCAGTCAGGACACATGCCTGGATTGTGGGCTCAATCCCCAGTAGGGGGCGTGCAGGAGGCAGCTGATCAATGGTTCTCATCGATGTTTCTATCTCTCCCTCACCCTTCCTCTCTCTGAAATCAATAAAAACATATTTAAGTAAGTAAATAAAAATAAAGCAAATTTTTTAAAAATTGTGAAAGCTTAAAAGTTAAAGGAACCTAGAGATCATCCAGACTAGCAGTCGCCGACCTGTGTCTGCCGACTGACTGCTGGTGGTCCATGAGGTCTGAAAGGTTGGCGACCACTGATCCAGACAATCGTATCTCATTGTAGAAACTCCTTCCTAATTTTATTTCCATTATCATATAAATTAATCATATACTAGTAAGTTGTGCAAGAAGATATGGTACTGAAAGTTTTTCATTTATCATTCTGAGGAAAATGGCTTAAACCATGTTTTTTTGTTTGTTTGGTTGGTTGGTTGGTTGTTTTTTGTTGTTGTTAATCCTCGTGTGAGGATATTTCCCCATTGATTTTTAGAGGGAGTAGAAGGGAGGGGGAGAGAAAGAGAGAAATTTTGATATGAGACAGTCACATTGATTGGTTGCCTGCTACACACTCCCTGACCAGGGCTGGGGATTGAGCCTACAACCAAGGTTTGTGCCTTTGACCATGATCATACCAGCTAGTGCTAAACTAGCTCTTAATAGATACCATCAATAGAACTGGTAGAAAATAAATTTCAGGCCTTGTTCCTTTGTAGGCATCTCTTATCGTTTTCCAGAAAAGGGATAGTAATAAAATATTTGATTCTGAAAGATAGGAGCAGGATTTCATTGAATTGGGTTTTTAAATTAAAAAAATAGATTTGCTGTTAAGGGCATAAAAAGTAATTCCACCAAAATGTTGTATCTGAGATATGTAAGTTTCAATCGGGACAATCTGACTGGAACTATTGCCATTTTCAAAATATATGAGGACCTGGGTAATTTGGGTTATGGTCCTTGCTCTGCCATCTGCCACAGTATCTGTACCTACAGCGATGTGTCAGATATGGTAGTGACCCATCAGACACAGTCCCTGTCCTCACAGAACTTGGACCAGTGAGGAGACAATTCTACAGATAATGGACTGCAGTGTGGTTTTGGCCATATGAGGACAGATGAGAAGGGTTATATTCTGTCTTGCTTTGCTTTTTGCTGTTTTATGATAGTGTTTTTATTTTAAAGGTAATAGACATTTATTATAGAAATTAGGAAATATAAATAAGCAAATAAAAGAAATTTCAAACATTTGTAGTTCCATGAAGAGAGAACTGTTAATAACATTTATGTTCAGTCATCAGATATTTATTGAACCCTTTTTGTGTTCCTTCCAAGCTTTTCCTTTGCATATAGGCGTGTATTTTCTTTTCTTTACTGACAGTGTGTTGTAAATATATTTCCATGTTCATAAATATTCATTTAAATTATCTTTTTGAGACCTGTTAGTGTTCCATCATATATTTGTACCAGAATTTAAATAGTCTATCCCCATGTAGTTACTAGGTTATTGCTAAATATCTTACCACATTCTCATTAGTTTCCTTAAGCTAATTCCTACAGGGGAAATTGCTGAGCCAAAACTGTATGCATTTCTAAGGCTGTGTAGCTCATTTGCCCTCCAGGAAAGTGTATTATTGCAGTTTTGGTGGTATGTAAGAGTAACCTCTTCCACAAAACCCTTGCTGACATGGATATTTCCCTTTTTTCCTTCACCACCCCAATTTCATTACCAAAACAAGTAAATCAAAAAGTGATTTCTTTTTTTTTTAATATATTTGTTATTGATTAAGATATTATATATGTGTCCTTGCCCCCACGTTACCCTCTAAACCCCACTCATGCCCTCACTCCCTGGTGTTTGTGCCATTGGTCAGGCTTATATGCAGGCATAGAAGTCCTTCGGTTGACCATTCCCCCTTATCCTCACCCTCCCCTACATTCCCTCTCAGATTTGACAGTCTGATCAATGCTTCTCTGTCTCTAGATCTGTTTTTGTTCAACAGTTTA